TTTTAGACCCCCCCCCTCCACCTCCATCTCCCCCTCTCCGTGTATGTTGAGCTTCAGTATAATGTGCATTGCAAGTCACCCCACTACAACCCTCCCCTCACTCGCCTCATCACAACCCTTCCCGTACTCACGTCACTGTCACAACCCTTCCCTCACTCACCTCACCTCATCACAACAGTTCCCTCACCCACACAGGAGGTGCAGTGGTCTGGCTCTCACGGTAAACTCATTACCTGCACGTGATTAAAAATTCTGGATCACTTTGCCCGCCAAAATTGCATCAGCTGATCGTCTGGATTGCGGATGAGAGAAAATGGAACTGGTAGGAGTTGTAATTACGGGGGAGATGAAAGTATTCCTGGGTGAGGCTCGGGGTGAGGGAACTGCAGCTGGGTTATGAGGTGTGTGTGTGTGTGTGTCCAATGATACTTGGCACCATTGATCCTGAAAGTTTAAACTCATTTAATCTTTTAGTCTTGGGTTAGTGACTGGATAAAATATTCATGGTGTCTTTAAAGTAGAGGACAGTGATGGTAGATTAACTTTTACAATGAATCAGCTGTAACTCTCCAGACTGTGAAGCAGTGGTGTTAGTTTGAGCTGGTTTAACCCAACACTTCTCTAGATAATAACAGGACAAAGTGTGTTAACGAAAGAAACAAAGAAAACGAGAACAAATATTAAGTCTTGAGGGGAAACTTAAAGAATGTGACTGTGTAATGTATGAGTGTTGCTGGCCAGTACCTTAATTACTGAGCTACCTGTACATAATGACTGTAGATGATAACAAGAATTACAGTAGCTTGTCCTAATTGCGTCATACACACTATAAAACACGTAACCTGCATTAAGGTAGTTAAATGTAATTAATCGACCACCTAAACGATACTAATATAGTCAAGGCACTAGTGTAAGATGTATGAATTATATTAAGTGAACATTAAATAATATAAGGCCAATCTCCTTAATGCACACCGACCTCAAGTTTATTTAATAATCATTATTAAAGCCTGGGGTGTGTGGCGGCAGAGTTGATACAGCACTGGCCAACTGTTATAAGCACGGCTTGTTCCATCCCGGGGCACTGCCACCTGTAAGTGGGTATCGAATTTTACAGTTTAGGAAGTGAAGGTAGTGGAGTGCGGTGGCAGCCATGTTGCCTCCTGTCACTCTGTGTGCCGAAGGATGTACCAACTACTACAGACCTAAGTCAGGTTGGGAGAACACTGATCCGTAATACAATGATGTAATGCTCTTACTATTAAAAGTGCTCTAGGCAGGCTTCAGTAGGTTTATTGTTGTTTAATTGTGAAGGATAAAACCCTGTTTGAAAAATACACTTAAAGAAAAATTAATATATTTACAAGGAAACTGAAGCACGAACATTACTACAAGGCTAAACACAATGGTAACTTAATTTAAATTCGTATTAAGCGAACTAAATATTATATCAAACAATAATAACTTAGGTGGAGTTAAATACAGTACAGGTCAGCCACTTAAGTAAAGAAAATAAATACTCAGACAACACCAAGAGAATTGGGGAAGCAGCTCCGACACACAGCACTCGGTGTCAGGAGTAACACTTGACTCTGTCGGCTCTTCCCAACCCGACAGGTGGATGGCTGGAATTTAAGGTCCGCTGGTGTTCATCACCAGAACCACAGTAACTAGTATAATAGCCGTTATGCAAAAACTAGCTAATTAGAGTAAATCAACTAAATAAATGTATTTGACATGTCTTATTACTACAGAATAGTCCAAATAATTTACTTATAATATAATATATACAATATACCTGGATTTATATGAGCTCCAATGAACTCACCAGTACCTGATTCACTGGGACTCCCTTAACCCCGAGTCATCTCGGCTAAGGATTCATGACTCCACACGTCCCTAACATGTCGTCATGCCTATGGGATCAACTTTCATTGAAGATTCGATTCGATAGTTTTTTTTTTTTGCTGCGTTTATTCAGTCCAGTAACACACCTTTCTTAACATAACTGATAATGTGTCCCGCGTGAGGGAAGTTTGTGTGTTAGTTCACTGTCGGTAGGAAGGCAACAAGATGGGTTATTGAAGTCATTGTTTAAACTCATTCAGAATAGCGGACTTAGGTAGGATAGTGCAATTGTGGTTTTAATCTAATCTATTTATTCCTTTCTCTTAACTAAACCTGATGGTGGGATTATATCTAGTAGCAAGATGCCTGGTGGGATTTTCTTCGGCGGGAAATCATCTGATAGAATTTTGTCCAAAGGGAAATGGTGGAATTTTGTTCAGTGGGAAATTCAACTGTGGGATTTTTGTCAAAGCAACCTCGCCCCTTCCCACCTCCCTAACTGCTCAGGCACCTCACCACCGCCACAATCAAAGAAAATCCTCCCCCCTCAGCCCCCAGAACTCCCTCAGTCCCCACACCCTCTCCCCACACCCCCACACAGTATTTCCTTTTAGAGCAAACTTCTCCCCAAGGCTCGCTGGAGACTGCATTCGATTTCCTGTACTCTTACCTAAAGTTGCACTCAGCCGCATGCAAATTCGTCGCCCCCTCCCCTCACCCACCCCACCCCACCCCACCCCTCACCCACCCCACCCCTCACCCACACTTTCACCCCTCACACCCACCCAATCTGGTCTCCTCCCCACCACCCCATCTAACCCACTCCCACCTCCCCCCTCCCACCTTCACCTCCCACTCTACGCTCCGTGTTGCAGCAGTGAGGCGGGTGTTCGTATGTCTACCACGTATGAGAATTGATAATCTCTCGGCGAGAAGGAGGAGGAGGAGGAGTTGAGGAGTCTAGCTGTTCTGGAAAAAGTCCCTCACTGAAAAGTTGGCTGTTTTTACTAGTTGGTCTTAAAGTGTGTGTGTGTGTGTGTGTGTGTGTGTGTGTGTGTGTGTGTGTGTGTGTGTGTGTGTGTGTGTGTGTGTGTGTGTGTGTGTGTGTGTGTGTGTGTATTATATGGGATGGGTATGCGTGGAGGAGGAATGGGTAGTTGTGTGTGAGGGAGATGGTGATGAATGAACTGTGGCAAGGATAGAGAAGGATGTGTGTGTGTGTGTGTAGAGAGGAGGAAGAAAGAGAAGCAGAAGGAAGGGAAGAAGGGATAAAGAAGAGTGTTTCCAACACACACACGCACACACTCATGGCCACCACAGCTGCCTGCTATGTCGCCTCACCTCATGGATTATTGTATATTGATCATTATGTAACATCTGCTGAATTAACCCCCCTCCTGCCAACCATCTACTCCTGCCAATCACTCCATTCCTCCCTGTTAACCGTGTACACCACCCACCCAATTTCACCACCCACTCACCCCCCCACCACCCACTCACCCCCCCACTACCCAATTTCCCCACCACCCACCCACCCCCCACCACCCACGCACTCCCCCCACCACCGCCCACTCCCACCACTCCACTCCACTTCCCCACCACTCCACCCACTTCACCACCCACCCACCCCCCCACTCCACTTCCCACCCACTCCCCCCCACCACCATTATACATTATTCACTAGACCTCTTATGTAAAGTCTGGCCCCAATTTGTGAGCGAAATAATGTAGTTGTTATATAGTTGTTGTGAGAAACTGTTGATCTATGGTAGTGTAGTGTAGTGTTGTGTAGTGTATTGACGTAGTAGTGTGAGGTTAAGAGGGTGTTGTTGATTATATATCGAAATATTACGTGTTGTTACCGTAGATATTTCTCTCTTGCTTTTCGTAACCCGTCATTATTATCAGCTGTGTAATCCTGGGTGTCTCAGTGCGTGCGTCCGTCTATATGTTGAATATATTATGTATTTTTGTACTTTGTATGTGTGTGACTGTATGTATAATCCCTCCCCCCCCCACTCCACACCATAATGACACTCCCTTCCCACCCACTCCACACCATAATGACACTATCCTCCTCCACTCCACACCATAATGACACTACCCTCCTCCACTCCACACCATAATGACACTACCCTCCTCCACTCCACACCATAATGACACTCCCTTCCCCCCCACTCCACACCATGACACTACCCTCCTCCACTCCACACCATAATGACACTACCTTCCCCCCCACTCCACACCATGACACTACCCTCCTCCACTCCACACAACACAATCAGCTGTTCTGGTAGAGCCATACACACGAGTGACGTCATATTGGCCCTGTCAGCTGTATTGATGACGTCAGGAGAGGGGAGTGAGGGGTTACAATACCCGGTAGTGGCCTAGTTGTCGTCGCAGGTGGAGCAAGGGGGAGTGTTCGTCTCTCTCCAGTGGTGTGTGTGTTGCTAGTGGGACTTGTTACAGTGGTGCTGGGTGAGAGACAGGAGTGGTATCGCGGTGGCCGGTGTGTCGCGGTGGCCGGTGTGTCGCGGTGGCCTGAAATACCTGGAGGCGATTCTTCAAGTTCCTTCCTTCCGGTGTTTGACTGCGGCAAGAAAATGACATGTTTACCTACTGTGTGTGTACCATGTATGTGTACTCTTGTGTGTGTGTACCATGTACGTTTACTGTGTGTGTGAGTTAAGACGCTATACAAGATGATGTCATGGTGAAGTACACTTGGTCGCCGGTAGTGTTGGTGTACTATCATCAGTTTGAAATATCTGTATCCATGTCCGCGTCAAGTTTTCCTACCAGCTCTAGTGCTTGTATGTGTATCTTTATTAATCTTGTTTCTGTACCAGTACTTGCATGAGTATCCGTATGAATATCAATACCAGTACTTATCTATCTGTACCGGTTCTTACTTCAGTACTTGTACCAGTTGTTGTAACACTACTTGTACATGACACACCAGTGTGAATACTTAAATCTCTACCACATAACTTGTTTCTATACCTGTTGATGCCATTATTGTGTTCCTTTACCAGTACCGGTGTCTGTACTGCTGTTTCCGAATATAATAAATTTAATATATTTAATGTATACACTGACGTAACCAGACAGTTGTTGAGAGTGTGAGAGTTAACCTGTTGTCCTGGCAGGTCTCGAGGATCACCCCGCGGACCGCCTTACCTGGGGGAGGAGGAGGCCAAGTCATGCTGCGGGCTGATGGTGACGCAGGCGGTGAGCATCCGTTGGTTCATCATCATGATCGCCTTCGTGGGTCTCTGCTGCACCGTCGTGGGCACTGTGCTGGGCGCCGTCAAGACCTACAACTCCGAGTACGTCACCATCACCCTCCTCATGATCGGTAAGTACACTATCACTTATCACCATCACCATATAAGTTACCAGGAAGGGTCGCGGTGTTCAGTCTGGGAGGGAGGAGGGATGGGAGGTTAGCAATAATTTCTAAATCAACAGCGCTGGTAAGTCCATTCTGGTAGTTTGTTGTTTTTTCATTATCGACTAATGTCAGGGCTCACACTAGGAACGTGTTTGGTCAGTGTGTCATGGTGGGGGGGGGCTTCGATCACTCAGAGTAATAATCACCCAATACTTGGTTATTAATGATCAGTGACGTAGTTCATGGAGGAGGAGGAGGAGGATTATTACCTCTTATATCTCTCTAGTGCATTATGTCCTCCACCAGTGTTATAGGTCTTCGTTATAAGTCCATCACTTCTCTATAAGCCTCTTAGATCACCATTACCAGTCCGGCGCCGCTCTAATAACCTCTTTCATTCACCGTATTTTAGATTGGTAGGTGTACACTCTCTCACACATACACACGGAGAAGTGTTGCCTGTATACTGCAGTGTTGTTCGGGGGGTGATCAGTTATTGCAGGAATTATTCTTGCAATATTTGGGTGTTGCAGGAAGTTCGTTGTAGGAGTGTTACTAGTTACAGTCTAATTTGGACGACGATATATAGTGGATGTATTTAGTAGGTAACGGATTATAATATATTGTTATAATACATGCTAATTAGTGTTGTACTTGAAGTGTGTGTGTGTGTGTGTGTGTGTGTGTGTGTGTGTGTCTGCACATATTGAAAATATGTGGACGACTGGATGAATATGGGTGGATGTGGTGTGAGTGTAAGTAGTTGATGTGCGGATGGATGTAGGTGGGATGCGGGTAGGTGGGTGGGTGGGTGGGTGGGGCGTACAGGAAGGAAGTGGTGGACGGTGGGACCGGAACTCGGCAGTCAGCTGTAGTGGTGGCGGCCAGAGAGGACCTGCACAATTATATACTTTGTGGTATTGGTGGTGGTTCCTCGAGGGCGTAGCTCCCAGCCTGTAGTGCAGGTCACTGGCCTTCCCTCCTAGTAGGGTCCACCAGCTAGTAGTGATCACATCCCCAGCAAACTAATAATGTTCGTCTGAGCTGTAGTAGAGTTTATCAGGTGGTAAAGATCAGCGCTTAGTGGAGATCGCGTCTTTAGAACCCAGCAGTGACCACGTCCTCAGCACCTAACAGGGTTGAGGGCCTCCCGTGCCCCCATACATTCATCACTGGTTGCTTCAACAACTTGGTCACTTCCCTTTAAAGGAAATCTGGCTCAGGTCCAGCCCTCAGAACCCTGGAGATGGGCAGTTGACCCTGACAGTTGATGCGGCCACTGGAGGGTGACCAGGGCGAGGAGCTTCACACGCTGCCTGGGTTAAGATTCTCAAAGATTCCTAAGTTGATGATTATTTTAATGCTGATCTGACATTGACGGTAGTTTCAGCACAGTTTGAACTCTATTTTGGCCGATAAATTTGTGCCGAGACTTGAGTGGGATATTTAGATGCGATCTCGCATACACTGCTTTGGGACTCCGATATAAGAGTTTTTATTGATAATTTGACCTTATATTCTATGGGGGAATTTTAGTATACAAACCGGAGTGAAAATTTGGCGTAGAAATCCTTTAGAGAAATTTAACCTTGAGAATCTGGGTTTATACCGAGGTCATTTGGGCTCTCAGGGGGAATATTTGAGGACTTGGTGTGAGCTGAGATCATAATGAGTATAGTTTGTAGATGTAAGGTGAGGGGGAAGGGGGCAAGATTTACGGTGCAGTTCCTTGAGAATCGCCGGTGTACTGTACAGTAGATGTTAGGCGAGGGTGTCGGTGCCCCTCGGGTGTATGTCGCCTAGGGAGGAGCATTATGAAGCTGGCACCTTGCCCTCCCCTGTCCTGTAACGACCTATAAAGACGACCCCCGCCGGTAACGACCTCCTCGTTAACGCGGCGCCCCCTGGTTAACGCATCCCCGGGTGATACCAACAGCACCCCTGGGCTTTATTATTAAGGTCACCACGCCCTTCTGGGAGACAACCTTCACCCCTCACCCCTACGCCTTGTCTCTCACCCTCACTCCTTCACCCAGTTGGCGTGGGGTGTACAGTGACCCCCCCCCCCCTTTAATCATAAACTTGGCGGCCCTGGTTTAGATCGACTATTAATCTGTGAGGTTGTATTTATATCCCTATGGCTGCAGTCTGTTAGTTGCGGACTGCAGTGTAGTGTTGCGGATAATGGTGATTCTGAAGGCTAGTGGCCAATGGCTGTCTAACCTAAGGTGACTTATATTGTCGTAACCAAACATAACCTAAACCCATCAAACCTAGGTGTCAAGATAGCGTAGAAACAACAGTAATGAAAATAGAAAAAAAACATTGAATGTCCTGATGTGGCGTCGCGGCTCACTTAGCAACCAACAAACATCACAGTTGTAAGAGAGTGGGCAGAAATTATTGATGGTTCAGTTGTATTTGACTAACTCAGGTCAAGTGTGAGGATGAAGGGAAAGCGGGAGGGGATTGAAAGAAAGAAAGAAAGAAAGAAAAAGAAGGGGGTGTTGAAAGAGACAGATTTGGTGAGTGAGTTAGTAAAGGGGGGGGGTACCAGAACAGAATGGTGCACCTGACAGGTAAAAAGAGGCTCAGCTTACACATTATCCACAACTAACAAGGGAACTGTCAAGACCAGAAAATGTGCCTTCATCTATTCCCAGGTTGAGGATAAGGTTACTACTATCAGGCAAGCCAGGTCAAAGGTCACGGATGAGGAAAATCCATGTGGAAATTATGTTGCAGAAGAGAGCTTGGAATGATTGCAATTGTTGAGTATTTTTATTTGCCTTGAGGGGATGATTGTGTTGCAGAGAAGAGGAACTAAATGAAAAGTGTTTGTTAGTTTCAAGTCATGCAGAAAAAATATGTGATTCCTAAACATAGAAAAGAAATAAGAATAAAAGCTAGAACTGGAATATAAGTAGACTAAATAATAAAGCAGTGACATAAGTAAACAAGTAAACAAAAACAAGTAAAGACGTTTAGTTTTAAGCCAGAAAAACTCGACACCTTCAACAGGAAGAATGGGTTGGCATATCAAGGCAAGGGAGATTGATTCTTTATTTTGCCGCTTACAGCGGCTAGTTTATTGTGCACCTCACACTCATCCTGTGAGCGGTAGCGCAAAAGGATTACAGATTAGAGTTTACAAAGGGTCATAATAATTAACCCCCGTGGTCAGGATATTATGGCACTGAATGTTACACAGTATTTCAATTACATTATTTGTTTAGTTCTATACATAGAGGGTAACTTATTCACAACTGCGTGAGTACAGGCGTGTGAGGCAGTATGTCTGGCCTCACACTGTTATTCACATTTGCGTGAGAAGTATTCAAGCACATTGTGTATTTGGTTCTGTACATGAGAACTGATATCGTTACTAAGTGCAAAAAAGTGGATACAATCTTAATATTTTGGCTATCTTGCCATTAGAGATGAAGTGTTGTGCCATTTCACACACAGTGTGCTTGGACCTGTCCCTAAAAGGTTCCATCTTCACACAGTCGAGGACGTAGTGTTCAAGTGTGTGGCTATATGTATGGCCACACACTTTACACTTAGTCTTGTTTACATATGCTTTAGGAACATACTGCCGGAGGTACTTATATCCTAACCTTAATCTAGCGGTTACATCATCTTGTAATCTAGTGATCTTGTTACTTGCTCCATATACATGTTTCACTTGATACATCTCATCATGGTAAACTATGGAGCCGTACCGTGTGGGGGTGTGCAGGAACTGTGTAGGTATACCAGACCATCTGTGGGTGTACAGGAACTGTGTGTAGGTGTACCAGTACCATGTGTGGGTGTACAGGAACTGTGTAGGTGTACCAGTACCGTGTGTGGGTGTATAGGAACTGTGTAGGTGTACCAGTACCGTGTGTGGGTGTATAGGAACTGTGTAGGTGTACCAGTACCGTGTGTGGGTGTATAGGAACTGTGTAGGTGTACCAGTACCGTGTGTGGGTGTATAGGAACTGTGTAGGTGTACCAGTACCGTGTGTGGGTGTATAGGAACTGTGTAGGTGTACCAGTACCGTGTGTGGGTGTACAGGAACTGTGTAGGTGTACCAGTACCGTGTGTGGGTGTACAGGAACTGTGTAGGTGTACCAGTACGTGTGTGGGTGTATAGGAACTGTGTAGGTGTACCAGTACCGTGTGTGGGTGTATAGGAACTGTGTAGGTGTACCAGTACCGTGTGTGGGTGTACAGGAACTGTGTAGGTGTACCAGTACCGTGTGTGGGTGTATAGGAACTGTGTAGGTGTACCAGTAACGTGTGTGGGTGTATAGGAACTGTGTAGGTGTACCAGTACCGTGTGTGGGTGTATAGGACCAGTACTGTGTGGGTGTACCAGTGCCGTGTGGGGTGTATAGGAACTGTGTGGGTGTACCAGTACCGTGTGTGGGTGTAACAGGTACTGTGTGGGTGTACAGGAACTGTGTACCGTGTGTGGGTGTATAGAACTGTGTGGGTGTGCCAGTACCGTGTGTGGGTGTATAGTGTGTGAGTGTGTACCGTGTGTGGGTGTATAGGAACTGTACCAGTACCGTGTGTGGGTGTATAGGAACTGTGGTGGGTGTGTGGTGTATAGGAACTGTGTAGGTGTACCAGTACCGTGTGTGGGTGTATAGGAACTGTGTAGGTGTACCAGTACCGTGTGTGGGTGTACAGGAACTGTGTAGGTGTACCAGTACCGTGTGTGGGTGTACAGGAACTGTGTAGGTGTACCAGTACCGTGTGTGGGTGTACAGGAACTGTGTAGGTGTACCAGTACCGTGTGTGGGTGTATAGGAACTGTGTAGGTGTACCAGTACCGTGTGTGGGTGTATAGGAACTGTGGATATTGATATTGAAAGAGTTTATTTAGACAGAACACAGATAAAGAGTCAACAAAAATCTTAATATTAACATGGCTGAGCCAGTTGTGAGCCTGAGCTCTCTTGTAGGTACCCGATATATACTTTACATTTATCTCAAGGAAGTATTATGTAACATTTAGTATCATCTGGAATAGTACGCATAGCATGGTGGTAATAAGAACGGATCAGAATGTTATCACTTCGATATTTATTTGTTTTATTTTGTTCACATATACAGTATATTAGAAGTATATTCAGGAACCGTGTGTGGGTGTACAGGAACTGTATAAGTGGACTCGTCCTTTCAAAGCAATAACGAACACTCCTAGCTAACAAAATTCCAATATAGACTTCTTAAACAAAGGACTCTAAGGAACACCACATGCTCATGACGTCACGTCTCATAGGCACTTTCTATTAACCCAGTCCCAAGGCACTCAGACTGTCATGGTCAGTCATCCTGGACACTCGTGGTTTGGGCGGGAAATACTGGGCTCTTTGGTCTCAACTGAATTTTCATACATATCTCTAATCCGACTCTTAAAACATAACATTGTTACACCGGTACTATGAGTGGGTGTATCGGTACTGTATTGTACAGTATGTAGAAGATGTATTTGTGTTGTTCTAATAATGATATCACACTTGATGAACTTATCATATTCGGTACATATAACCGTCAAGGAGGCTGGGTCAGAGATTGGCTCATTTGTAGGGTTGAGAGGCAAAAACGTTTAAAACTCTTAACTTGTTGATGAACGTGTGGGTGGCTGGGAGAGAGGCGTATAGGTGGATTTAAGTGACCATGGGTAGTGCACCATTAATGTTCATGTGGTAGCCTGAGAGGCAGTCCACCGACTCTTGACGATGATCAAATCACTCCTAGTTGCCTTTCCCTCCCCACCACCCACCTACCTGACTCCCCACCACCACCACTGGCTCACCACCACCACCACCACTGGCTCCCCCACCACCACCACCACCTGGCTCCCCACCACCACCTGACTCCTCCCCCACCACCTGGCTCCTCCCCACCACCACCACCTGACTCCTCCCCCACCACCACCTGACTCCTCCCCCCCACCACCACCTGACTCCTCCCCCACCACCACCTGACTCCTCCCCCACCACCACCTGACTCCTCCCCCACCACCACCTGACTCCTCCCCCACCACCACCTGGCTCCTCCCCACCACCACTGACTCCTCCCCCACCACCACCTGACTCCTCCCCCACCACCACCTGACTCCTCCCCACCACCACCCTGACTCCCCACCACCACCACCTGACTCCCCCCCCACCACCACCACCACCACCTGACTCCCCCACCACCACCACCACCCCTGACTCCCCACCACCTGGCTCCCCCCACCACCACCACCACCTGGCTCCCCCCCACCACCACCACCACCTGACTCCCCACCACCACCACCACCTGACTCCTCCCCCACCACCACCTGGCTCCTCCCCACCACCACCTGGCTCCCCCCCCCACCGCACCACCTGACTCCACCACCACCTGACTCCCCACCACCACCACCTGGCTCCTCCCCACCCACCACCTGACTCCCCCACCACCACCACCACCACCACCACCTGCCACCTGACCCCCCCACCCCCCACCTGACCCCCACCCCCCACCACCTGACCCCCACCACTTGACCCCCACACCCTCTCTCCCCCACCAAGAAATTTTCGTTGACAAATTACCAAATTTTGAATGATATTCCCGTTTTCTTTGATTAAATTTCCCATTTTCTATGATAAAATTTCCCATTTTCTATGATTAAATTTCCCGTTTTCTATGATAAAATTTCCCATTTTCTATGATTAAATTTCCCATTTTCTATGATAAAATTTCCCGTTTTCTATGATTAAATTTCCCATTTTCTATGATAAAATTTCCCGTTTTCTATGATTAAATTTCCCGTTTTCTATGATAAAATTTCCCGTTTTCTATGATAAAATTTCCCATTTTCTATGATAAAATTTCCCATTTTCTATGATAAAATTTCCCGTTTTCTATGATAAAATTTCCCATTTTCTATGATAAAATTTCCCGTTTTCTATGATAAAATTTCCCGTTTTCTATGATAAAATTTCCCATTTTCTATGATTAAATTTCCCGTTTTCTATGATAAAATTTCCCATTTTCTATGATAAAATTTCCCGTTTTCTATGATAAAATTTCCCATTTTCTATGATTAAATTTCCCATTTTCTTTGATTAAATTTCCCATTTTCTATGATAAAATTTCCCATTTTCTATGATAAAATTTCCCATTTTCTTTGATTAAATTTCCCATTTTCTATGATAAAATTTCCCGTTTTCTATGATAAAATTTTAACAGAAAATGGGAAATTTTATCATAGAAAACGGGAAATTTTATCATAGAAAATGGGAAATTTAATCAAAGAAAACGGGAAATTTAATCATAGAAAACGGGAAATTTAATCATAGAA